TTGAAATTAATGTCTTTTGAAGTGCCAAAGCCCACGGCTCTTTACTTGGGCACATAATTTTGCTTCCTATTGATTTTTTGCAAGGTGCTTGAGGACTTTCTTCATGCTGAAATTTCATTTCTGCTGTTCACAGGACAAGAGAAATTTGATATCCATGTACAACTTGACGAGGCCTGAAATTTCATTTTATTTGATCACTCAGCTAGTCATTTATAAATTAGCAGCTTCAGACTTCAACAGGGAACGCACATGGCCTGGCTCCCTGGTGCTGTCTCCCGGGTGGACTCACCAGCTCATACAAAGGGTGGGCCGAGGATTTACATCCCTCCTCTCAATTCTCCCTCCTCAACCCCCTAAGTAGTTTCTGTGCAGAGAATGGCGATGTGCTTTTAATCTTGACAGCTTTTAGTCAGAGGGGTTAAAAAATGGTGAAATAAAGAGACTTGGTGTGGAGGCCTTAGCAGGGGCCCATACATGGGACTTCTGCAGCCCCTGCTCCCCTCGTTGAGGCCTGTCATTGGTCCCTGAGCTCCACTGCTGGTTTAGGCCAGAGAACCCCCTCAGGTGACTCTGAGGTCAAGGAAGGACTCCCCGGGTTGCGGCCTTAGGTCTGGACAGGCAGTCCTCAGTTGGGTGTGGAGGACCCCCCCACCACCACCCTGAATCTCTTTTTTCTGCAGGAGCTGAAACTGCCTGTTCTGCTCCCTGCTTCAGACCTGGAGCTCAGCTTCACCCCTTACAGCTTCTGGTTTAGGCTCCATTTCTAATCCGTGGAGATGTTTATTTTGTGTGGGAGTGGATTATATCTTTTCCAATTTCCTCTTTTTGGGGTGTTGCTGTGTTCCTGTGTGCCCAAGTATTTAGAGCTAAACGGAAGAGTCTAAAGCCAGAATTTATAATAGCATCTTAACCAGAAGGCCCCCCCCACATTCCTCCCGGCACCTGGCGATGTGGGGGCGAGGTGGGGGTGAGGGGCTGTTCCCCGCCTGTCCCCTGACACCCCGTGAGTCGCTGACCCGTGCGCCCCCTCAGCGGCCGCCTTCCCCCTGGCCTCGGAAGCAGGCCGGCCCCCCGGGCTGTGGTGTCTCCTTCCCTCAGCGGCCGGATCTTCTCTCTACTCCCCCGCAGCTACCTCCAAAATGCCAGATTCCAGAAACTGTTTTCCTTTTCATCTGAGGGAGAAAGTGGCTGCATTTTTAAAAAGAAAGGAAGAGTCAGGCCAACATCTATCGCCGCCCTTTGACACTTGGCCCAGGGTCAGGCGCCCCCAGGTCACGCTCAGGTGCCCACCGTGACAGGAGGGGCCCTGCAGCCCGCAGAAGCGCCCACACGTCATGCCCACACTGGCTTGACTCCAGAAACCCCCCAATTCAACAGGGTTCCAGGTCCTGGAGAAGGACAAAATGGGGGAGGAATTCAAGATGGCGGCGTCTTCCTGTCCTGCGCGTTACCGCGATGGCGGCCCAGGGGAGGCCGGGAGCCAGTCAGCCTCTGGTCAGCGGGAACGAAAGGTCCACGCGGCCCAAACATACCTGGGGTGGGTTGGGCTTGCACAAGCCCTTTTCCCAGCGGTGCATAAATAAGGGACAGAGTAAGTGAAAAATCCCTTTGAAGTCGCTCTGAAGCCTCTCCAAGCAAAATAAGTCAAGAGAAAGAAAAACACTGGGCGATTCCACTTATACATGGAATATAGCGGAGCGAAAGCAAAACAAACCCTAGAATTCTGACTTCGGAAGGAATCGAGGCGACCAGTGGGGATGGACTGGAGGGGGCTGGACAGACTTGGGTGGTGGGCGCAGTGTAGAGATGGACATCTGAAGAGGTGTGAGCCCAGAGCACAGACCCCTACAGCACAGACTCTCATAAACCAGCTTTCCCTCAGTTAAAAAAATGCAATCAGAAAATTTTTTAAAGGTTGCTCCATCCGGAAGGGTGGTGGCTAGTGTCCTCCGAAGTGGTAACTGCCATGAAGAGCCTCCTACCCGGCTCCTTTCTCCTGTGTGGGAGGCCAGCCCCTCAACCTGCCTCCTTACCCCTCCCGGCAAGCCCTGGGTCCAAGTGCCAGCGCTGCTGCTGTTGTTTTCCACTTACTCCTCCAGCTTCACATTCTTTTTTCTTTTTAAAGATTTATATATTTATGCATACAAGAACTGGGGTGTAGGCCAGAGGTGGGGGGGCGTGAGAGGATTCACCAGAGACAGAGTGGGGAGTAGAACAGGCAGATCTATTGAAATACACTGCTGAGGGGACAGAAGGGAGAAAGGAGAGGTCTGCTGCTCCATGTGGGTCAGCTCCCTGGCCCAGGATGGAACTGGTGGCTGCTGATAGCTTGATGCTGCTAAAACTTAACCCCTTGCACCACCAGGGAGGCTCCTCCAGCATCACATTCTTAAGGAGTCAAGGTTATTGGCCCAGGCCAGCCAGCACTGCCTGCTGGGGTGCTCGAGCCTCTGCACAACCTGGGGCCTCTGTGGTGCTGAAACCTGGGGGGATCAGTTGGTGTTCCCAGCTCTATATGTGGGCCTTGGGGACCATGTGTTTCAGATGAGACCACGGAGCAGTGTTTGGGTGCAGACCACAGGGGCACATGCCTGATCAGCGTCCCCGAGAGGCACCCATTTTTCATATAACCATCTACTGATTCAAACATACGGTCTTCATAGAAAGTGCAACTTAATGTGTCGCTCAGTTGAGTTTTTACCAGCTGAACAGCCCTGGGTAACCTGCACCCAGCTCCAAAAACAAGCCATGGCAGCCTCTTCCCCTTGTGTCCTGCTGCCCTCACTCCCGACGGCCAGGAGCTGCTCTGCCTGTTTTTGAACTTGATGCCAATGGATTCAGACGGTGTATATAGGCAGGTGTATGTCGTCAACGAACTTTTTTTTTTTTTTATATTGTTTTAGTTGCTCGGTTCTGCTGCCTGGCTAGGGTGGCTGAGGCGGCTACCTGCAACTCTTCCTTGACCTGTGATGGGACTGGGTTCTGATCAAGCCACCCGAGTTGAAAATATTGTATGTCAAAAATAACAAAGCAGGGAGAAGAAATTCAGTACTATCCAAAAAATTACAAGATGTCAGAAAATAAATACACCTGACTTACCTTAAACATGCTCACAATGCTTCCGTCAGCCTGCAGTAGGGCAAATTCATCCAATGCAAACTGATTTTGTGATAAAATATTGAATAGTTCCAGTGGTGATAAACTGAATGTCCTCGCGCAAAATGCAAACTGTGGTTTCTACTGAATGCATGTCACTGTCACACCACTGTGACATCGGGGACTATGTATGACCTATAGATATTAAATGATAGTTTTTTTTGGGAAAAAATCTCACAATTATTATTTTAGGACTTTGACAATTTTCTGTTATAGCTCATTTTATTTTTAATAACTCCTGCCCTGGCCTTTTTCTGTGTGGGGACTCATAAACATACTAAAATGCAGGGGTTAAGAATGAATGATAAAATCTTAAGTACTGTGCAAAGTGAATTTATTCCTCTGAGACTCAAAGTGACATCCTGAAGGAAGTCACAGTTAATGTTCAGTTTCCTTTGGGGAAACATTCTCCAAGAATCATAGGGCTCCTCTTTACATATCTTTGGTGGAAATCAAACAATTCCTGGCTTAATGTTTAGTTTAGTGACCCCCCCCAAAAAAAAATAAATAAAGGTATCACTGCCAAGTTAGGAGCCTAGGAAAAAAAATTTTTTAAAGATTTATTTATTTATACAAGCACTGGGTCCAGTCAGAAGTGTGGGAGGGTGAGAGAATTCACCAGAGCCAGAGCAGGGAGCAGAACAGACAGACTGACGAAACACACTGCTGAGGGGAGCAGCGGGAGGCAGGAGAGGTCTGAGCGCCATGTGGGATCCTCGCCTGGCGGCCGGGGATCGAACTGGTGCTGCAGAGGCTATGGGCAGCTTCACAACCCAGCGCTTAACCGCTGCACCACTGGGGAGGCCCGAGCCTAGGAAAATTCTGTGTGATTTTTCCAAGATGAAAAAATAACTGTTAGGGTAACGTGATTATGGATGATAAGTGTTTTTATTTGGTAAAGATGGGTTTGTCTCTAAATGATGGGAGACAGGGAATAATCCGAAGCTGCTGTAAACTCCAAAATAAATGGTCTTCACTGCAACTCTGAGTGCAGAGGCTCAGGTCATAAAATTAAACCCACATCCTAAAGCCTGAAGAAGCTACTGGTATATATTCTCAGGGAGCTGGCATTTCGGGCTGTTAGCTTCTCTGGTTGACTTGGTTTGAGTTCAGAGCAGAAGCCCATTGGGTGGGTGGAAAGGCAAAAACATGTTTGCCCATGAGCTCTTCATCCCTCCTCACCTCGGTGTTCTTCATTCATTGGCTTCCAGCAAATCTGTGAGGTACATGTTGATTGATTTCCTGTGGCTGCCATAACAAGTCACCACAAACTGGGCAGCTTCAACCACAACAGAAATTTATTTGCTTCCAGTTCTGGAGGCCAAAAGCCAAATCAACCCATGAGCCCTTTATATCCTTGGCATATTTCCACTCCCTCTCTCAGGCATGTGAGGAGAAAGGGTCTTTTTTTACTGATAGGAAGAAATTCTGTACATCTTCTGGATACTCATCTCTTCTTTGATGGGAGATGGTGGTGTCTTCTTCTGCTCTGTGATGCTCTCAGGGAAATATTTTTATGAAAGACAAACAAGGAAGGGGGAAGAGTAATTTAACCTCTAAGAGAAGCATTTGTGAAAGGGTCTGTCTGTTCCTTCTCTGAGACGAGTTCAGGGTGTTGAGTTAACACAGCCTTGTGTTCCCGCTGATTGGGATGTCATTAGGCTCTCGTAATTTTTTTCATGCTGAGCTTTGCTTTCATTTTGCTTTGTTTTTCCAAAGTATCACTTCCAGGAATGTGCCTTTGTTCAGGGTCACTCTCCAGGCTCATGGTTTGTTGGGGACTTGGGTGAGAAATGCCCAAGCCCCAGCTGAGCATGACCCTGGCCACTTTTAGGTCCTGGGGTCCTACAGTCCTGAGACCCCCGACTCCTACCAGCTCCCAGGTGAGTCGCTCCCACCCTCCCAAAGGGGAGGCATGTTTGTCATAAAACAGATGCAATCCACGCTCATTACCAACAGCACTAAAAAGCATAATTAATTCTACCCACATAAGACAGGTGCACATACACAGATATGTCCTGCTACGTCTCTCCCGCACATCTTAATACACAATGCTCAGACACACACAGAAAGAACTGTAAAGTACTTAATGTCTTAAGTTATACAATCTTCACTTACTCTCTCGGAACTCTCTAGATCGATGGATGTATTCCCACAGTGTGGACACTGCATGCAGGGTATCTAGTATCTTTGTATCTTGGAGATTTTGGAGGATCGCTCATTATTGGATAAGTTAGTACTTTCCTTTAAAAAAAAAAAACTGTAAGAAGCAGTCTTGAGGTGAGCCTTTGATATTTGTGAGTATTTAGGTGTTTTTGTTGGTACATAACCCCAAATTGTCTCATGGAATGTGGGGAAGGGCGGTTGTCTGTTCACTCCTTTAAAGGACCTCGAATGAGGCATGTGCCAGCATGTTCTGCGACTTGGGGACACGGAGGTGATTGAGATGGTCTACGAGCTCATGGTTGGCCCTCCAGAGGCAGTAGAGCAGACTCAGGACGGAGGGGGCATCGTTGGGAGGCAGGAGGCTGGCCTCAGTGAAGGGAGGACCCAGCAGCAGTTTCCCTTGGGATGATGCACACGACTCCTTCGCCACACATTTTCTGTCTAAATGCTCTGAAGTGCTTACCTGGGCAAAAGCACTGCCCCACCTGTACTCAGGTGAATCGTGTAACTTTTGGAATTTGGTTTCCACTGCCGCCAATCAGGGATAATGGAGACACTACCTTATCTAACTCACAGAGGTGAGACTCAAGTCAGAGGAAGAATGGACAGGTGGCTCTCTGTGTGCCAAGCCCCAAACACATGCTGTTGCCCCGGTGTGCAAGGGCGGCAGCAAGGAACAGCTCCCCTGGGACATCGGCGAGGTGGGTCCTGAAATGAGACCTGGACGGGAGAGCAGGCAGCTGCAGGCCCTGGTGTGGGGCTGAGACTTACCCTCTCACCCCAGTGGGGAGAATACAGGTCCGCTCTCACACGACCCTAGTTCAAGTCCCAGCTCCAGCCCTTCCCAGCTCTGTGCTGGACAGTGACTGCATCTCCCTCCTCCCCATGCTGTGCTTTCTGTATCTTATCAAATTAGGATGATCATCGAGTCCTCAGGAGAAGCAAAGGGAATGAGGCATCTAATATAAAGTGCTTTGTTCAGTATCTGGTATAACAAATGCTCAGTATATGTAAGTTTTAGAAACAATTTGATTATTGATGGTTTTTCCAGGTTGTTAATCCTCATAAGAAAACAATTAGGAAAAAAAAAATCTTTCCCCCAACAGTTTAAAAGCAACTGAAAATTAAGTTTCTTCTTCTAAGACAGAGTTGTCATTCATCATTCTGGAAATTCATAAATAGCTCCTTCCTAGTGCAAGTGCCTGCTTTGGGGATTTAATTATGGGCCACAAGGATTTGCTTTTTCTGTGTAAGGTTTGAAGAAAGCTGGTTTGCTGCTACGGGAAAATGAAAGAAGCTGTGTCTTGACAGCTCAGTCAAGTGCCCTGGGGAGCCTGTGTGCAGGGCTCCCTCCCTGGTGGGCCTGGTACTAGGGCTGCTCCCTGGTGGGCCCGGTCTGGGGATCCTTCCCTAGTAGGGGAGCCTGGTACTGGGCTCTCTGAGGAGGGTGGGTGAGCCTGGGCATGACCAGATCACCCAGGAGCTGTCATCTCTGGTGAATGTGCTTTTTTAAATCCTCCCTGATACTTTGCTCAGTTTATCTTTGTGCATCATAAAATGTTAGGGTTTGAGGGTCTGTGGTCCTAGATTTAGGGGGTTCATGGCCTAGAAAACATTTTTCATCATTTTGATAATTACCATGGTCCACTTCTAATTTTTCTAACTAAGAACATTTTTAAAAGTTGCTATAAGTACCTTATTAGGTACTTGCTATCCTTCGAAGGCATGGTCATGTGAGGGTGTGTCTGTCCCACATAGCAGTTTCCCCCAAAGGAAGACCTTGGGTCCCCAGGCCTGACGTCGTCACCGGTGATTGCGATGACACCCGGTCTGTGGCCCTTGGTGGGAGGTTGGATGACTGTGGGTCCTGCAGCCTGTATTTGTCAACCCTTGGCTCCTGATTGATGGTGCTCAACAAAACGAACAAAGCAGTAGATTACTCTCCCAGATGGCTTCCTTATTTTTAGTTCAGCAAGAAATTTCCAGAATCTCTCTCTTTCTTCTGACAACGGCCTGAGTGACATGAATGAAGGGCAAACTCAGGCACTGAGTTAGCGTCTTACTATCTGGAACATTCTGGAAAATGATAAAAAATTACATCTGTTGATAGTGTGTGGTTCCCCCCCCCCAACACAATTACAGTTTAAACCCCCACATTCAAAACACATCTTCCAATTCCCAGGGAGGTTAAATAAATTTTAAACGAACCCCTGCTTCTCTCCACAGCAGAGCACTGACATCTTACACTCTGATGCAAAATCCCATCCTTCATGTGGTGTCATGGACTTCCAGAGCCAAGATAGAAACCTTTATAAATACTCTGGGGGTGGGGTTAATTAATATCTGGATTAGTTTCCTGGAACCCCATAACAAATTACCACGACTGGTGACAGAAAACACCAGCAGTGCGTCCCCTCACAGCTCTGTGTCTGTGTTGGTTCCTTCTGCGCCATCTCTGTCTCTATGTTGCTGGTCACCAGTGAGCCGTGGCCTCTAGTTGCACCTGCCAGTCTTTGTGCTTCTAGGGTTGTCTAGACACTCTAGTTGTTAAGACTTCCCAAAATCTCCTTCTTCTTTCTCTTACAAGATCAGTCACTAGAGGCCTCCCTGGTGGCGCAGGGGTTAAAGACAGCACTATCAGGCTATCACCAGCCACTGCAGTACGAGTTCCATCCCCAGCCAGCGAGCTGACCTCTCCTGTCTCGCCTGCTGCTCCCCTCAGCAGTGTATTTCAGTCAGTCTGCCTGTTCTGCTCCCTACTCTGTCTCTAGTGAATCCTCTCACCCCCCACCCCGTACCTCTGGCCTGTACCCCTGTTCTTGTATGCATAAATAAATCTTAAAAAAAATAAAATAAATGGAACATCCAGAAGAGGTAAAAGAAAGTAGATTAGGGATGTCTAGGCCAGGAAAGATGATCTAAGGAAAATGAAGAGCAAACAGAGAGTTTGGGTTTCTTTTCGAAGTGATGAAAATGTTTTAAAATCGATTGTGGTGATGGTTGCCTCTCTCTGTACTAAAAATGATTGAATTCTGCACTTAAAATGGATGAGTTGTATAGTCTGTGAATTGTAGCCCAATAATGCTGTATCTATTTTTTCAAAAACGAATGAATGCCCCTGCCTGTCTCAACAGCCCTCTCTAATTGTATGAGCTGATGTGGAATTACAAAAGCCTGATCCAGCGCATGCTTTTGGAACATAGTCTCTGTGCTCCTGTTTCACCGTGGGGACTTGTAGGGGTTGCTATATTAGTGTTTAATGATGCGAAGCAAGAATCAGAGAAGCAATGCTAATTATCAAAGTCATTCACTTTCAATGTTTTCCTTTTCCATTCATCTACATGTTCCCTGGGGCTCTGAAGAATCCCTTCAGATGGACTTTCAGGAGCCCTTTAAAGAGCTCCTTCCTGCAAGCAGGGAGCACTGGCTGGATGTGATGTGACCTGATGATTCTAGAGCACTGGCTGGATGTGACCTGATCGTTCTAGAGCATTCTAGAGCCCACTGAGGCCTCCAAGTGGTAAACTACATGGGCGCTGCTGTTGTGCTCCCGGGTATCACACTCAGTCTTTGCAGCACATCATGGCCACATACTCTGAGCTGACATAGCTGGGTTAGAACTCTTTCGATTCCTTCCTACCTGCACTCCCAGCCCTTAAAAATCCACACTCTACTCCAGAGTTATGCTACCTCACTGGGATTCTTTGCACCATCTTTCTGTCCCCACTGAACAGTGTCCCCAGCCACCAGCCCTTTATCCCCCTGGCCAAGTGCACTGAGTTTCCACCAATGGGTTCTCACCACTGAGGCAGTTACTGGCATGTGTCCAGAGGTTGTGTGAGTCCATGTGGATTTGTCTTGGATGAGATTGGCAAGCTAGTTGGATTTCATTTTAAAAAGTAGAATCCTTCAGCATTTTTCAGGGACTCACTCATTCATTTAACAGATGCCCAGCAGTTCTAGGGCTGGGGTAGAGGATAAGGTCAAGGACACCTGTAACAGAACAAAATGGCCTCATGGATTTGGGAGATGGGCTGAGTGCCCAGTGGCAGGGACACAGAGAAAAGGGGCCTCATGGTGAAAGGTCTGAAAAACTATCCCACCTACTGGGTCCTCTGCCCCACAGCATGGCCCAGTAATACTTAGTGGCTGCTTTTTGGTCTCCTGGTCGCCTTGACTTCCCACATTACAAGTCACTCTCATGCCATCCTGTGCAAGGGCACAGGAGAGGGCATCACTGTGGAGGGATGTTTGACGATGCAGACTTCTCGTTGGACTTGTTTTCTAACTGTCACATAGCAGGTGCTCAACAAATATTTGAATCAACCAATGAATGTTGACATCCTATTGTCCCCTACTGTAAAGGAAATTAAGACAAAAGAGGAACACAGATATATTTAAGCTAAATATCTAGACAAATAACAAAAGTGAATTAACACGATGCAGACACTGAGATCAGACAGCCTTGAGTTTCTCCATCTCACCACCAATTTGTTTTAATTTTATTGATCATGCCCAGACCATGTCTGACAACTCAGGTTTTTACTTGTCCTCAAAATATTTTCCTTCTATTCAAAATACTTATATATCATATGTGTATGCTTATGGACATAGCCACAGATCCATCTCTGTGTACCTGATGTATGTGCACACACATACATGCATGAAGATATACGTGCAGTTGTCAGTTTGTGGCATCAATTAATAGTGATTAGGTTCTGGTCTTTTCTTTCTCTGCCACCCAAATTTTTCCAAGCATGGTGGTTCACCTTATTTAAAACAAAAATAGAAACAATGTTACTAAATTTCATTATTGTTGCTTAAATTGAACTGCCACTTATCAAAAGAAAGTGAAAGATTTTTCTGTAAATATCTGGAATAAGCTCATCAGTCATGTAGAAGAATAAACTTGAGATATTAAAGGGTAATATAATGAAGTTAAACCAAGGAAAAACTGGGAGGACAGTAGTCAAGGTCTAGTGCAGGGCTCATAAAAATGTATAAGGACCCCGGTAGATAACTTGGCAAAAGAATTCAAAAAGAGGGCTTACAACAGAGGGAGTTGAATTAACAGACAAATAGAAATGTTCTGGTACACTGGCCAAGATGTTAAAGTTAGAAAATGAATCATTTCTCACACATTAGCACAATTTTAAAAATGCAATAGGTTGTAGAGGGAGTCTATCAAAGCAATATTTCTCTATGTTTCAGGTAGCTTTATAAATTGGTACTGCTCTTGGAAAGTTGTGTCAGTGTAGGTAGGTAGGCAGATAGATATATAGACAGACAGACAGAAGACAGATAGATAAATCAAAAGCTCTGAAATATTTGTGACAATTCTACTTCTAGAAATCACCTCTAAGGGACTTCTTTGGTGGCCTAGGAGTTATGTCTCAGTGCTATCACTGCCATGGCCTGAGTTTGATCCCCAGCCAGGCAACTAACCCACATGGCGCAGCAGACCTCTCCTGTCTCACCTGCTGCTCCCCCCAGGAGTGTATTTCAGTAGATCTGCCTGTTCTGCTCCCCACTCTGTCTCTGGTGAATCCTCTCACCCCCCACATCTCTGGCCTACACCCCAGTTAATCTATCAAAAATAAATAGAATCTTAAAAATTAACCAAAAAAATCACCTCTAAGAAAAGAAGATAAAACTATGAAGAGTTACATGCATGAATCTGTCCCTTGAAATGTTAACTTCCAATAAGGAAAGAAGAATGATGCAAATTATGGCTTATTCATGCTTGCATTTAGAAGTTATTCTAAAAGCATGGCAACATGACTAAATCCATCTACTATTAAATAAAAGGAAAAGATTTTAATGTGTTCAAGTGCAATGTTACAAAAAGACGTGTTTAAAATTACCAAAAGGCAAACGGCTGAAAAATGGGCACAGTCGCTGAGTTGTGGAGGTGGGATTCTGGGACTTTTTCTCTTATCTTATAATGCAGTTAACTTTCAAACTCTAAAACATTTTTAAGGCTATTTCTAAGTGTTCAGTTCCTTAGAATATTTACTAACTTTATGCAGATTATTTCAATCAGTAATAAACCAAAGACAAAGGTTTACTTGACTGGCTTTCAAATTAAAATATTAATCAGGCATATTATCTTATGAGAAAAATGTGCTTAAGACACCATGGACTAATTCTACTTTTGCCACACCACTCTGGGGTCAAAGGATCTCTTGCTTCTCCAATTTGTATAATTCTGTGGGAAAGAGCCAGGCGTGTAATTATTAAGTACAGACTTTATTGCAATAAAGCTGTGAAATTATTTTTTTAATGTGTCTCCTTTTCGAGGAAGGCATGATTGGCTTATACCAGACCCTCTGTCAAAAAAAAAAAAAATCTGTCTTTCATATTTAATTTTTAACAAAAGATTTCTTGTTGAGGTTCAGTTTAGAAAACAAACCGTGTCCTTTTCTCTTCCTGTGTGTGTTGGCATTGATCCCAAGGAATTCTGATCAAACTCTCTTAAAAGTTAGTTTTTCTTTCTTAGGGCAACATCTGTTTCCTTTGCCAACACAGGGTGCTTTCTAGGTGTATTTGCTCAAAACGTTCACTACATTTCTAGGCTCAGCCTCACATGCAGCCTGTATTTCTGAGCACATAAAGTCTGGTCTTCAGGTGCAGGTTGGCTTGGGATGTCACAGGTCTCACTTCTGGATTTATATTTAATTCAACATAGGTTGTCATTTGGATTGTGTAGACTTCTAGTTAAAAGAAACCAAAAGCAACATTTTAAAGCATGAAGATCTATTATCAATAATTATTATCAATTATCAATTTATTATCTATTATTAATCTATTATCTTTTATCAGTTATCAATTTGAAGAGCTATTATCCATTATCAATTATCAACATAATCCCTGAAGTTCTTTCCATTTTCAGGATTTTGGATTTTGTGGTCTCAGAGCAAGATGTTGCACGAAGTTTTGCTTGCTAAGGCACTTCTTGTCACCATCCAGAAGCTGAAAATATGCTTTTGAATGCAACTGCCTGTAAGATCTGGATAGATTCTTCCAAACAAGACTCTGTCAAAAAGTTGGATTAATTTGAAAGCTCAGATAGTCATAGAGAATTATCTTAAAGATAAAATTGTCAAAGACAAAAATATTTACCAAGAACCTTCCAAGTGTGGAATACACATTCGAGCTTCAGTGATGGTGCCAATTATTTCATCCACATGTTGGCACTGATTTCAAGCAGTTGATCTCAGAATGTATTGAAGCACATCAGTCAGTTTAATTTTGAAGTCTGAGTGTTGCCTGATATTTCCTACCTGCTTAATCTTCACTTTGTTGGGGGTAAATTTCATTCTAGATCTCAGCAAGCACTTAGAATAATCTGTATTTGTGCTTTAAATTCTAGAATGTTCAGGAACATTCTAATACATCCTATGGAATAGGAGGTTTCTTTACTGAGGGTCCAGGCTCACACTTAAATTTAAACAAGTAATAGCATCTTCACCAGTGGCTTAATGTATGCTAAAGTATATATATTGCACACAAAATATATTTTCATTGCTTCATGAACTTATTGCAGTGTTGCTTCATACATCCTGTGCTGATAAAATTTGTTGCTGAAAATTCAGAGGTCCTCCAAGCTGTTAATGGACACTTTGATTAGGTTAACCAAACCTAACCCTTTAGGAGAAACAGCAGTTCTCTAGTTTCATTATAGATCTGATGAATCAGACACCTACAGGGTCTGCCCCAGGAATCTGTGTTTATGCAAAGCTCTCTGGCAGGATTGGAAGGAGGCTGGAAGAGTGTAGGGGTATACAGTCTCCCTCTGCTATTGGAAAGTAGAATGTTGCTGTATGGTATGATTTGGTAGGCTACTTTTGGGCTCTGAACATGCTATTCCTATTAATTTATATGGAAAATATTTGAGTATTCCCTAACCTCCAAGACAACTGCCAAATAGAAACAGTCTACTTTCTCACTAAAAGAAACAAGGCGAGACGTGATTATTTTTAGCTGGTAATAGGTTCTCTGGGATCCATTCTGCTATATCCACTTTTTGCCTGTTTGAACTTTACCATAATGAAGAGATTTTTATTAAGCTGCTCAAGTGATCCTGATAACCAGGCAAAAGCACTTCGGTCTGGTGTGGATATGTGTTTTCAGTTTTCTTGGGTCTTTGCCTGGGGCTGAGTTGTTAGCTTTATGCCATAACTTTATCTTTAGCATTTTGAAGAACTTTCCAAACAGCTTTCTGAAGTGGATGCCTCATTTTTTAGTCCCACCATCAACCTAGGAGGCTTCTTGTTTCTCCAATTCCTTGCCAGCCACCTAATCTGTTTTACAGAGCTGCTTGACCCCATCCTTCTAGTGGGCATGAAATGGCATCTCATGGTATCTCACAGTGAAATGGTTTTCATCAACCATTTCCTTAATGCCAAATGATGTTTAACCTCTTTTCTTGTGTTTATTGTTCACTGCATGTCTCCTTTGGAGAAATGTTGATTCAAATCTTTGGTCCATTTTGTAATTTGGTTATTGATCTTTTTAGTGTTGAGTGGTAAAGGTACTGGTTTTAGTGTATCTGAAGGTATAAATAGAGAGATGGAAAATGGCAAATATTTCACATACCAAAGAGACATTATAAACAGTTTGATTGTTTACAATATATTTTGCATGTAACCTGATTTTAGGGAAACTTCTGGTAGTTGGAGAGGTCTGACATCAATGATACAGACGCATTAAATACAGCACACACATGGAATCCTCCATCATTCCATGGCCTGTTGGGATAGACTGAGTTAATGGGGATAACTATTTTACCTTGAGCCCTATGATATTTGTGAATTTCTCATATTATATAAATTCAAAGACCATATAGTCTGTCCACAATATTTCGCTGACTCTGTGGGAGGCTTTTGTTTTTAGCTAAGTTGTGTGGAAACTCGAAAACTAAGT